TTATTATGTTCAAGGGAGTAGGAAGAAGTAAAGAACTTATCTAGTCCTACCCCGTGTTGTATGTTTATATCTATTGAATCATTTTTATATCAATCAGAAAAGAAACAAAGTAAGAAGAAAGAAGTCTCCATTAAGGCTCATGCTTTACCCTTAACCGTGATATTTTTATACTTTTGGTTTGTATCGGGAATTTATACATACACACCCTGGCACTCTTGTGTCAATTTTCTCTTGTATTCATAATGGATATTACAGTACCTTTCTCTATTTATCAACTTAATTCTGATTTATTATTATATTTAATTAATGTTTAGAATTTATCACCTTAACTCTGATTGATGTAGGTTGTTTGTACTATTTTTTTGAATTTGTTTTTGAACTCAGCAAGCGATTTACTCATTTTCAGGTCTGTTTCGAAATTATTCCACAGATTAACACCTTTGACAGATACACTTCTTTGCTTGATGTTTGTTCTTGTTTTGATTTTTTTAAATAAGTTGGTACCTCTTAAATCATAGCAGCTTTCTCGAATTTCGAAAAACTTCAGAATGTTTTGGCATAGGAGGTTATTGTGTGCTTTGCACATTAATTGGGTGATTTTAAAGTCAACCAGGTCATAAAATTTCATCGTATTTAATTTGATAAATAGTGGATTTGTGGGTTCCATATATTTTGATCTATTAATAATTCGGATTGCTTTTTTTTGTAGTTTTAGAAGAGGGAGTGTGTTTGTTTTACAGGCATTTCCCCATATTTCCACACAGTAGGTCATACATGGTAATAATAATGAAGAGTATAATGTGTACAAAGATCTCTTATTTAGCACATCCTTGGTTTTGTAGAGGATCCCTATGGTTTTGACTATTTTTCTGTTTACGTTATCGATATGTGGCATCCAACATAGTTTTGAGTCTATTACTAATCCGAGAAACTTGGTTTCATACGCTCTTTCTATCTCAATTGAGTTTACCATAATTTTAGCTTGGTGTTTGATTGGTCTTGTGCCAAAAACAATTAATTTAGATTTTTTCAAGTTAAGTGACAATTTATTTCTGTCGAACCAGTTTTTTACTTTGTTTAATTCGTTTTATGCGGTTGTGAGGAGCTGTTTCAGATTTATTCCAGAACAGTAGAAAGTTGTATCATCAGCAAATAGGACACATTTAAATTGTTTTGAGACCTTGCAGATATCATTTATATATAAGATGAATAGTTTTGGACCAAGCACTGACCCCTGAGGAACTCCATGTGTGATTTTCAGTTGATTCATTTTTTTATTGTTGATCTGCACTTACTGATATCTGTTATCTAAATAACTTTTTATCCATTTATAAGCTACACCTCTAATGCCATATCTTTCTAGTGTATTCAATAAAATACTATGATCCATTGTGTCAAAAGCTTTTTTTTAGAAAATCCCAACAGTAAATTCTTTGTTGTCTATATTAGTGGCTATTGCTTCCACAAACTCCATAACTGCCATTGAGGTGGTCCGTTTTTCCCTGAAGCCATATTGATTCTCACTTAACAGCGCATGTTTTTGTATAAAGCTATCAAGTCTGCGAGAAAATAGTTTTTCTAATATTTTTGAAAATCGAGCTTGATTTTCTGCAATCAGACAGTCCCATCTCGGGGTAATAGGAGACAATGACACCTCAAGTGTGTGGTTTATGTCCAGTCTACTTCGTAATTTTGTTTTAGTCGCCGTAGCTGCAGAAAACCCCCGCCTCACACATGTAGGATGTCGGAAATAGCAACAGTGCTTGTGGCATTCTCAGAGTATTCAGCCTTGACTTTAATCCAGTTGTCTCAAACGTACTTTTAAGGCCGCCATTATTTGCCATCTCCAGCAGTTTTTTTACTCTGTTTGCGAGCTCCGGCGTTTTGTTTTTAGCGTAATCGGTCATGTGACAGAGAAGCGTGGCTTGACGTGTGTCAAGCGTCATACAGACGGATGTAACGGAGTATCCGGTAATTTTTCAAAATAAAACATCTTTCGTATTCCGAAATAAATAAAACGGAAATAAGGCAAGTTCTTTCTGTGCGGCCCGGTACCAAATGCCCTGCGGACCAGTACCGGTCCGCGGACCGGCGGTTGGGGACCCCTGTGCTAGAGAATAGTTTTTCTATTATTTTTGAGAATTGTGGCAGTAGTGATATTGGTCTATAATTTGTAAACAAATGTCTTTCTCCACTTTTATAAATTGGAATAACTTTAGCAATTTTCATTTTTGATGGAAAGATACCATCTTTGAATGATAGGTTGCATATGTGCGTGAAAGGTCGCACTACATATTCTATAATCTGTTTTATTTTTGCCATATCAATATTAAAGCAATCAGTTGACTTTTTATTTTTAAAAGTTTTTACAATATTTGATACTTCTTCTTGTTTTACAGCAGTAAGGAACATCGTGGAGGAGTTTTTTTCTACGTATCTATTTCAAACAAGTTTGAATTTATTTTATAAAATTATATATTTTATAAAATATTTCGTGCTCTACTAAAAGGGATCTTAATTGCCTGTATTTAATCTTAATACCATAAATAAACCACATTCTAAAAACATTCATGGCAGGTGAATGGAACACTTAAAATTGTCCCTAGGTGTGAGTGTGAGCGCGGATGGTTGTTCGTCTGTGTGTGCCCTGTGATTGGCTGGCAACAGGTTCAGTGTGTCCTCCACCTACTGCCCGAAGACAGCTGGAATAGGCTCCAGCACCCCACGCGACCCTTGTGAGGATAAGCAGATCGGAAAATGGATGGATTCACGGATGGATGGATGACCAGATCTTAATGAAAGTACTGTTGTTGGATACCAGAGGTGGCCTAGTGTTCCCTCGACCTGATCTGGTTCCGGGATGACAAAAATTCATTTTTGAAAGATTTCTTTTTTTGGTGGGCAAAGCAAGTGAAATATCTGTCATTGATGTAGAGTTAACATTGACTTCATTTTCGATCTCAACTTCAGAACGCTTCTTGGTGCTATTGTGAGACCGTTTTCATTCTCCCTTGGTGAACTCATCGTTACCTGATCGCTCAGAAATTATTTTATAACATTATTTTAAATCCAAACCATTGACGTGCATGCATTAGTTGCAGAGCTTTTGTTTTGAAGGTGGCCAACACCGCTCGCATTTTTTTCAGATTACCGTAATGCAGAGTATTAACAATCGCTATGGCGTCTGGCAGGACCGCAATAGGTGCAATCGGGCGAGCCGAAAGTAGTTGTCGCTTGACGGGAGCTTTTTGTCTTTCGTCATGACTGTATCCTGTTTTTGACGGCGTTGTTTCGGAGATGGAAAAAAAATCGATCCAAAGTGTAGACCAAAAGTGTGTCAGCACAAAAATAAACAAATGCATAAAAATTAACAGATTTGACGGTTGTACTTGCGCGCAAGGACGAAATTTTAAATCGCGCCGTTTCACCTTTTAGGGGCAAAATGAGACCACTTTCTGGAGCCCTGGACTATAGTTGTTTTTTTTTTTTTTCAAATCCACGCATCGTACCTTTTCTCTGACCAATTTGCTGCTTGAAACACCAGACGCATCCAAAGCTTAACCAGTTCCGGGTTCATCATCGAGCATGCTTGCTGCATTCCAGGAAGGTGGGGGCAATCCCACTCGCATTGTCCCAGTTCCGACTTCAAGGCTTTCGAAGCAAATGCAAACAACAAAGATGGTTGTTTACGACAAATTGTTTGTTGTTGTGGGTCATCACTTCACATTTTGATGTCCAGCAAGCATTCTTCTTAATTTCATTAATTTATACAGATAATCAAATGTAATGATTAATGCAATTATTACAAACCACGTGGTGTAATTGTGACATTAAAAATGACATACACTGAAGTCGGTCAATGAACTGAGGGTCCTCCCAGGTCAAAGGGGCGTTCTTGTACGCTTTAATTAATTAACTGACTTTATTTTGAAAATGTAAATAAGGTAATCGTCAAATTGAAATAGAAATAAAAACAATAGGTTCAGGGCGTCCACCGCCTATAGAGGGTTCCGTCCTTTTCGCAATTACCCACAATGCACTACCGGCGGCCATATTGGAGGGCTGTTATAAACAAGCCATACATGAAGTCGATTGTGAATCTTCATTCATCCAAGAATATGCCGCTGACATGTGCTATTGTCAACTGTCACAACCGAGGTGGGAGGGATAAAAAGAGTTTTTATCGCATTCCTAGGGTTACGAAAGGCCAAGGAGAGCCGGCAGAAAAGAAAAGTGAGCGACGTAGAAGACAGTGGCTTGCTGGTATCAACCGTTCTGATGTGAAAAATTACGACTGTAAGTTGAGAGGTTCGTAGTTTTTCAGTGGATAGCTCTACTTTAAAAATGGGCAAAAGGAGAGATGGAATCCTTTGAAGACAGTTTTTATTTTCCCCAACGTCTGCACCTCCGAACGAACGAACAAGAACACACCTCCTTCCCGGAAAAAAAAAACACCAAACACTTCCTGGTTTCCTTAACCAATCAGATAATATCAACATAAAATTGTTTAAGCAATTATTAAACAGAATATAACCTAGGTAACTGTAACACAAAAGAACATAATACTCAAATATAAAATGAAAATAATTAATAATTTAACATAAGCTTACACGACCAACTTCGTGTATGTTCTGATCACTTTGTCTTGTTATGTGTTTGTGAAACATATAGCCAACAGAGGACGCTGTAGGTTTAGAGTTGATAGCAGATGACAAGGCTTCCCGTAACGAGGAAGTTCACGAGAGATCACCATACGTGCGGAATAATAAAGTTGAGCTCAGGCTCATTTCTTCATAAAATGATGGCTCATCATTTATCAGAAGAACAACACACACTTCATATCGGGTATGTAAACAAAACTCCGTCATAGTTATAGAGTTAATGTATCAGGCAATAATAGATAATGAACATGAAAAACAAAGAGTGCTATGGCACATATTCCGATCGAAATGCATAATGTGCACATGGTACACCGTGTACATTGTCATTCTCCTTGTGTCGTGTCATGGCATAGTGCATATTTCCCTATTTCTTATATACTGGTATATGGATAATAGTAGTAGAAATTATGTTTATAAATGTGTATTTATAAAATAATATGATTTTTAGAGTTTAGCACTGGTACTATATAATGCACTACATGAGAAGAAAAATGTAACTAGCCTGGTGTAAGGTACAGTATGCATTCTAATTACAGTAAATGTTATTCCACTGTGAGTAAGCTAAAGCAATCCCTCTTGCTGTAAATAGTTAATATTTATATTTGCATTTCAGGAAAGCCTCACTTGGATGATGAAACTGATCCCGATTGGGCACTAAGCAAACTAGACTTCTAAACAGGAAAGATGCAAGGAAAAAGACTGAAGCCGCTATGAGTCTTTTGGAACTCAGCACATACCTGCAAGCTGACAGTAGAGCTGATTCACCAGTGGAAACAGAAGAATCATTACCAGAGGTACCTGAGGTGGTAGAGGAATTGTCTGATGCTGAGAAGCTGGATTTGGCAAATGAAGAAATTTCTCAGCTGAAGAAAGAAAACCAACCATTGACAAAACAAAATGAGTGTTTGAAGAGCAAAGTGCATAGTGATTGTCTTTGTGTGTTGTGCCTTGACTAACATGTGTCCATCTGTTGTACCTTTTGATTGAAGCAGGCATAAACATTATTCTATATGATGTGTAATGTGTAACTATCAGTGGTATTGTGATACATATACTGTGGCAAAGTATATTTTACAAAGAACATTACAGATATGTTTTTGTTATTTATTCTGGAAGAAATAATTTTGTACTCATGGAAATAAAACTAAATCTCATATTCAAGTTATTTATTTTTTCAATCACATCATCATATACCTTTGCAGGCATGAGTACATTCACGTTTCGTCCCACCAGGACTCATCAGTGCAGCTTGGCTTTCCACATATCATGGAAAACTGCAGACGTGTTTTTTTGGGTTTTTTTGGGGGGGGGGGCGGGGTAGGGGTGGTGATCGGGTGGCATTGAGAGTTATGAAGCACATAACCCAAACAGATCAGTAATCCAAGTTATGGTAGAGTTCATCGCTTGCATTTCATGTTTTAAAAAAGTTCCCTTGGATCCGATAACTTCTGAGAGTGCATAACTCTAGCTCTGACAATCCGATGTCCACTCGAAGTCTTGCTGTAAACACGAACATCTCGTACCCATCCACAAACAAAACGGTCGTAGCTCTCCAAACTCTTGTACCGGTAATTTCGAAAGTCCTTCAGTTTGAAAAAAGGGCTTGGCTGACAGATTAAATAGTTCACAAGATCTGGATAGGTGATTTTGGAAAAAATTGGTAGTCTTCACTCTATTCAGATTTCTCAATTGATAAGGATCCTTGCCAATAACAGCATTTTTTTCTAAATACCGGCTATGTGCTTGCTTAGCCAATGTTTCAACATACTTCTCCATGTCGTGTACATTCACAAATCACCAAATTAGTCAGTAAACTACTCTTTCGTGTCGAAGTCTGCGTAGTGAAAAATGCTTGCGCGATCAGCGCGAGCCCTCCATTATGGCGCGCCACACGGAATTGTGGGATACGGTTACTATTTTTAGCAAAAAAGACGGAACCCTCTATTCCATAGTTTAACTGCATAGACACGAATACAAAGTTCTTTTTTGTTGTGCACATGTAGAGGACCTTAAAAATTAGTTGTCCCCAGACTAAACGTACTATTCCCCTCCCTTACAATCAACATTGCATGTAGATTTTCCAGCAATAGACCATTTCTTGCTCTGAAGATTACTTGGACAGTTGTGGATTCAATTAAATAGATTAATTTTATAATTTTGGACTGTATCAATAACTTATTAATCTATTCATGAAAAGTTGCATTATGCATTGTTTTGATGGCTCATTTTTGAAGAATGCACAACGGTTGTAAAGAACCCTGTATGTAGGAGTTCAAAATTGGTGATATCAAGGAACTACAAATAATATGTAAGACTTATCATTCAGGAAGTGTTTTATTTTGGACATTGTGTGTGTTTTATCTCAGGTTTCCAGCAAATTCTGTCGTCAATAATTACTCCTCGGATTTGTTTTCAAATACCCTTTCTAAATTCATACCATCTATCTGTCATTGGATGGTTTCAGATTTTTTTGCTTCCGGGCCTGCGTGGGTTTTCTCCGGGTACTCCGGTTTCCTCCCACATTCCAAAAACATGCATGGTAGGCTGATTGAACACTCTGAATTGTCCCTAGGTGTGAATGTGAGCGTGGATGGTTGTTCGTCTCTGTGTGCCCTGCGATTGGCTGGCAACCGATTCAGGGTGTCCCCCGCCTACTGCCCGAAGACAGCTGGGATAGGCTCCAGCACCCCCCCACGACCCTCGTGAGGATCAAGCGGTTCGGAAAATGGATGGATGGATTTTAGTTTTATTTAGGTTCAGCAAAAGTGGTTTGATGGCAATAAGTTAATTTCCATCAAACCACTTTTTTAATTTACTCATCTCTATAGTCAGCGAGGACGGTAGATGCTACAAGCTAACCCCAGAAACCAGAATGTTTGAGTCATGCATTTCAGAGACTTAGGGATGTTACAAATGTCATTAACGGGGGGGGGCAACCCGCGGCTCTTTGGCTGGTTCAATGCGGCTCCCGTACAGCAGAATTTAAGATGTCAGCCTATCATCAATCCCGTTACTTGATTGACATAAAGGGCAACCAGCCAGATGACAACTGGCAGTCCGCACCATCATCCTCATCTGAGTCGCATTGGCGCAGGAATAGTGCAGCTCCGGCGGGGCTGTGGGCGGCAACGGCTCGGTTTGGACCTTCATGCAGGTGGCCTTGAGATGATTTTCCTCTCCCACCAAGCATGGTGCAGGTCTGGCGGGGCCAATCTCACAGCATTGCTTCGGTCCTGGACTGTCACGTGGGTGGGGGCCAAGATGATCCTGCACTTTGCTTGCAACCCGGGCCACTACTGGCCTTGCGGGTGCGGCACAGCTCCAGCTGGTCTTAGTGGGCAGCATGGGTTTGGTCCAAGACAGTCACCCATGCAGGCAGTGGGGTATGCTCTTTTTCTTTCTTCGTTGCCTGCCCACATGCTGGTCCAACGCCGCCACAGAGCAAAGGCATCGGTTTGGTCTCAGACCGTCGTCTGGGCAGGTTGGTGAACCCAATGCTGTGACCTCTCGTCCCCGTCCCAGCCTTCCGCCACGCCTACCTGACGGAGCTGCTGTGGCAGGTTGGCTGTGCAGCTGCTGTTGGGCCAAGTCAACAAAGCAATTCAGTTCCTTTTCATGGCGCGGGTTGGTGGAGGACATGGGGGGTGGCGGAAGTCTGAGACGGGGGCGAGTGGCCAGCCTAGGGTTGACCACCCTGCAACAATGCCCAGACGACGGTACAAGACCAAACAGATGCCTTTGCCCTGGCCCCGCTAGAGGGGTGGCAAAGGACCGGCACGTGGGAGGGTGACGAACAAAGAGAAGGAGCACACCCCACCCGCGTGACCGTCCTGGGTCCTGAGTTGACTTTGCAAGACCAATAAACGCCATCCTTGTCTGTAATTGTGCGTTTGGGGTGACATACAAACCCTAACACTAACCGTAGTTTGAAATCCAAAGTTGAACCCCTTACCCTAGTTTAAAACCTAAAATGAAACCCTGAACCTAGTTTGAAACCCTTTGTTGAAACCCAAACACTAGTTTAAAACCTTAATTTCAATCCCTGACCCGATTTTAAATTCGGCATTTTAATTCAAAGCCTTATCTTGAGTTTAAATCCATAATTTTAGTACTTCACCCCTCCAAATAAAACCTTAATTTGAAACCGTAACCCGAGTTTAAATCCATAATTTTAGTACTTCACCCCCCCAAAAAAAACACATTAGATGGATTTTGAAACGTGTGAATGTGTGGATAGAGAAGGTAATGTGCCATTAATTTATCTTCAACGTGAATAAAATGCAATGATTTTTGCATTTCACAAACCAAAAAAAAAAAAAAACATTAAATGTCAAAAGAATTTTAAAAAAGCACATAGAGTAGAATTTTCAGATATCTGTAAATAAAAATATAATGCAAAAGTGTGATAGAAATGTGGTGTTAATTTATCTTTAAAATTTTGTTTATTTGAAATTTTATTGCTTCCAGAAGTGTTTGGTTTTGGTGTGTAGTACAGCTTGTGTGCACAGGGTTGTGATTTTTGGAGAGTAATAAGTACTAGTACGGTATTCTTTCAGGAGGTGGCAATGAGTGACCCTGACCAACAGAGGGAAGCTATCGTCGCTTGTCATGCGCGGCCAAATGGGGCTCTCGCAATTGAGAGTGAAGAAGAGTCATATTAAAGGTGGAAACAGTGGGCTACAGCAAATGTGAATAAATGACAACGGTTTTTGTGTTCAGAAACAAAAAAAATAAAAATCCGTCAAATGGCACAAGATTTTTAAAAAGCTCACATGAAGTGAATTTAGAAAAATGATGCAAAAATGTGGCATTCGTTTATCTATAAATTTTGTTTATTTGGAATATTCTTGCTTAAACGGGTATTTGGTTTGGCTTTCTAGTGCATCTTATGTTCACAGGGTGGACATTTTGAATTATTGCTGATTTTTAGAGGGTAATGGGAAATAACACGGTAGTCTTTTAGAAGGTTGCAAAAACCCACTCTGACCAGCACATAGCAGCGATTCCCATGAACGGCCAAAGGGGGCTCTCGCATTTCAGAGCGAAGAAGAGCCACACGGTGGAAACAGGGTGAGTTGCGAATTTTGTAAATAAAATGCTTTGTTTTTATTTTTGTTCCAAAAACCTTAAAAATAAAAACGTCAAATGTCACAATATAAGATGAAAAATCTAAACGTTCGGTTTCTAGTGCAGCTTGTGTTCACACTGTGGTCATTTTATGTTATTGCTAATTTTTAGAGGGTATTAAGAAATATGGGATTCTTTCAGAAGGTTGCAATTACCAACTCTGACCAGCAGGGGCGGCTATTGCCGATTGCTGTGCTTGGCCAAAAAGGGCTCTCGCATTTCAGAGCCAATAAGGTGGAAACAGCTGAAGATCGAACGTTTGAATACATTGTAACGGTTTGTGTTCCAAGAAAAAAAAACTTTCCAAAGTTGCAACGCTCACCTGAGGCGGATTTTGAGCCGTGTCGATGCAAAAAAATGATGCAAAAGTGTGATGGAAACGTGGCATTCATTTATCTTCAAAATTAGTGTATTTAGAATTTAATTGCTTCCACAGGAGTTTAGTTTTAGTTTCTAGCAAAGCTCATGTTCATAAGAGTGGTTGTTTTATGTTAGTGCTTATTTTTAGAGGGGAGTAAGAAATAATGTTTTTCTTGAAGAAGGTTGCAATGACCAACTCTGACCGATAGAGAGCAGCTAATGCCGATTGCCGTGCTCGGTCAAAATGGCTCTCGCATTTCAGAGCCAAGAAGAGGCATCCGCCTGGGAGAAACAGAGCTGAAGAGCGAATGTTATGAATGCATTGCAACGCTTTTGTGTTCCAATAACAAAAAAGCCCAAAACATTATTTCATTACACTATCATTTATAACTGTCATGAGCCTGTTCTTGTGTTTCTCCAGCAGGTGGCAGTGGAAGGCTTCTCTTCCAGTGTGCACACCTGCTGCCAGTGATCATCATGATAAGTCATGTATTTAAGGACTGCCAAGATCCTGTCTCTTGTCGAATTATTGACATTGTTGCAGCTCTTGCTCAAGTGTTGTTTTCTTGACCTCTCAATAGTCGCGTTTACCGCTATTTCTTCGGTCGTAAGTAGTGACGGGTCCATGAGGCCTC